AAAAAGTGTTAGGTGTAAGCCTCCGCTCTTTTAAAAGCCGCCCGTGGAGGGGCAGGTTCTTAAGCAGCTGCGGGGGGGGAGCCGTGGGCGAGGGTGGCCGGGCCGCCGGAGCTTTTGGAGACGGCTTCACGGGAACCACGAGACCCTCTACTGTAGCAGCTGTCACCCCGGTGTTGGTCGGGAGGCTAGCGACCAGGGCGCTTGTTCTGCCTTCCCCGAGGGCACCCGCAGAGAGAACAGAAAGTCCCCAGAGTGCATGCGCTGCAGGGTTCTGTCAACCCTGTCGCGGGAGGAGCTCCCGGCTGGAGCGGCCCGGGGAGGGGACAGGGGGCGGTCCCAGCACCGCCCCGAAGGGCAGAGTCGGGGGCTCGGGCCCCGGAACGGCGCCCTCCTAGCCCTCGCCCTGCACGCCGCCTACCACCGAACCACCCGGGTTCCCCAGACAGAACCACGAAAACACCTTCGAGAGCAATGAGTTAGTGTGTGAAAGGCATGGATGGATTTTATTTATTACCCTATATCTACAATTTAATTTGAGGTAAAATATAAGCAACACATAAAAATGCCTATTTCTGCTACCATGTAATATAATTCTCCATCGTGAATATTGTGATAAAGCTAATGGAAACTCTATGCCGTCACGTACTCTAGCTTCTTATAGCTGGTATTTTACAACTCTCATTGTCTGTGAAATCCCAACACACGTACGATTCTCCCACGAAGGGCGCAGGACTCTCAGAGGGCGCAGAATCAGCTCGTGGGCCCCTCCCTCCCCACGCTGGAGCCTCAGTGCTACACGTCGAGATCTAAAATGGCGAAGGCAATGGAAACGCGTGGGGCCTGACCCAGGCGGGAGCGGCGTTCCGAGGAGACCCCCACCGCCACAGGTCACAGGGCGGTGAGGCTTTAGTGTCTCGGAGCTCGCCCCGACACTCATACCTGATCTTCAGCTTCTGGAACACCAGGCGTTTTATTCGGACGAGAAGTCAGGGTGGGAGAGGTTCCGAGGCTCCGTCTGTAAGCCACACGCCGACATGCTAACCTCTCGCTGGCTGTTAGGCGATCCGGATGGTGGTTTTTTTAATTATGATAAAAAAACATATGAACCATGATAGATAGCTTAGGAAAAGGTTTAGTCAAATATACAGATACTAGCTGTTCACTCAGTCGTCAAGGAGAGCCGTGAACAAAAGGATCATTTAAATGATTTCTCAAATAGAAAAAACCTAAAAGGACTGTCACAGGTGCTTTCTTCACTGCAGGAGCTGAGATGTTCCCGGAGGAGAGATCTTCACTTGATTGGAAAACAAAACACCACAGCTGAAGGCTCTGTTGCTGCGTAAAAAATCTGATGAGATTCATCCCTGCCATTTTCCCTGTCGTTTTTCCAGCATTGCTGTAAAATCCTTATAATACATTCCAAAGTAAACCAGCCATTCCAAATCTACAGTCACTCTGCTCTTTAATTCAATTCACAGAACTGCTGAAAAAGTAGACATTTCTATCTAAAAGTAGAAAAAAAGGTTTGTATAGAAGGTATTTCTGTTATACAAGTATATTACACAGCTCGGGGCAGTAACAGGTCCGAAAAGCTCTTCTCACCCACTGATACTTTAAGCTAAAACAGAAGAGAAAACAAACAAGCGAGAACACGGGTTAATCTGATTACAAGACTTTCACATCTGCAGATAGCACAACTCAATCAGCACTCAAGTCCATGAACTGACAGTATTTAAAAAAAAAAGCCCTCAGGTACACCTCAGAGCCCACTGCTGCGAAGCTATACCCTCCGACCAGCACGTCTACATTCAACAGCTGGGGCCTGGGGAGGTGCGACAGGACGGGAGCGGAGGTGGCTGACTCCGGGCATAGGGCTTCGCTCCTGTTAACAACCGGGCCAAGTTCAGGAAGTCTGAACAGCAGGTTCAGGGTTGTAAGTAAATTATGCGAGCTGCAAAATGGATTGAGCAGCTTGGCCAGACTCTGTAAACACCATTATTGTGATTGGGGAAAAAGTCAGCGTGGTGATACGGATTCAGAGTGAACTCCAATGGAGAGGATAAGATCTACCCTACAGATCAGAAACAAAACATTTTTCTTTTAGGGCAAAGCGCTTTTACATCTTTGACTCAAAGGCAGATATTGATCTAAGGAAAATCTTTCTGCTTGATCTTCTAACTCAAACCATCCGGTAGGGCTTACACTTGGACCTCATTATGGCCGAAGCAGGGAAAACACAGTATTAGCTTATGAGCATGCGGGGGTTGGGGGGGGGGGGGGGGGGGGGGGGGGGGGGAGTTCAGACGAACACTAGACGGCATCCCAGACACAGATGCTGATTTACCCTAGGAGGGAAGAGGTCTACCACGTAGGGTCTGGTTCTTGCTTGATCTGAGAGTTTCCGTCAGTCTCCTTTATTTCTATCAAGAAAACCAAAAGGGAACTGATAAATTACACTACGAATGCAAATCTGTATAATTATAAACCCACTCAGATCAAACTATGTGCTAAAATGACTTATCAGGAATTGTGAAGATACTAAAGATAACATTTTCAGACAGTGTTTCCCTAACAGTTCTTAATTGTGCCACTTGAGTGTTCACAGTAACAAGCATCTTCTTATGTATCTATTTAAAAATCTAGGTTAGAAAGTAGTTATTCCACTGGCTCAGAATTCATTACGAGTCATTTGGAGAAAACGGAGCAGAAGAACCATGAGTCATCGCCAACACGCCATTTTCTGGGCAAAAATGACACATCCAATTCACCCAGAAACAAAAGAAAACCCAAGCACACAGTCCTAGTGAGACGGCTCGAACAGCACCGTCAATCCCTTGTCCTAAGAGCGCTCCCGGGGGGCTTCAGTCTTGGACCACCGGCGGCCCTACACTTTTACCTTCCGTTGCAGGGCCCTCCAACTGGCTTGGCTCAGCGGATTCTGCAGAGAAACACACCAAGATTTACTGGAACGCTGCTTTAACGTTGCTGTCTCTCACTCATCTACAAGGGCCCAGAGAAAGCCAGGAGAAAGCTCTCCACACACTGCACACCAAGCGCAAGTCGCAGAAGAAACAGCAGCCACGGCTTCTTGGGATTAAACACACGTGTCTCACGTGTCTCAACTAGTGTCTCAACTGGTCTAACAAAAGTCTCCTTTTTCAGACATTTCAGTTTCCTCACGCAACCCAAGTCTTAAATAACAACTGTAGTTTAACACAGTTCTAACATGAGGGAACAAGTTCCTTTTTCACGTCCTTTTCCCCTTTTCTGTGGGTTCCCCTTTAATAAAAGCCTTTTTTTGGTTTCAATGAACCACAGTAGCAGGCTTCAACGCTGGTTTCTAAGGAATGTTTAAAGCCACAGTACACACATTTCCACCCGGCACAATCCGGCTCATAACCAGCAATGGAAATGAATGGCATAAATGGTAAAGTCTAGACAAGCTTCGCCCTCAGAAATGGCACTTTACACCCTTGGCCTTGGGGTTCCTGACCTCCTTCCCAGCCGACGGGGGCACTGGAGTCAAATGGCATATGCCCCACAGTTCTCAGTTAGGACCCAGAGCTTGAGCACATACAGGCTTCCAAACACAGAGTCAAAGACAAAGTCTAAGTGTGAGTGTGTAAATGACTTTCCCTAAAGTTAGGCGAATGTTATTAGCAAGTGAGGCCCCACAATTTTATGTGGTCCATTTTATCACAAAAGCAGGAATAATTCTATGTTTTACCCCACTTAATTTACCTTGTATCACTGGGCCTTCTGACTCACTCTGATCGACCAACTCTGAAAATAAAGTAGATTGATTTAAACAATAACTTAATGCATGCTGTTACAATGGAAAAGCATTTATACATACATTCTCAATTTGGATGCTCCAACTTGGCCACAACAGGCACTATTTTCCTATGACAAGAAGGGAACACAAGAGTTCTGGTATGTCCCATCAGAAGAACTAATTTATAGTAATTACTGGAAAATTCTATTATAGACTACTGCACAAGGATGAGAACAAAATTGAACATTTTAAACAAAGTTAAGGGGGCTAGGAGGTTTAAAATACAATGCTCTTTGAAACTAACAGTTATATAGAAGACAGATTAATTGGGATTAATAATTTAAAAAAAAAAAAAAATCCAGGGACGCCTGGGTGGCTCAGTCGGTTGAGTGTCTGACTTCGGCTTAGGTCACGATCTCGCAGTTTATGAGTTCGAGCCCCAAGTCGGGCTCTGTGCTGACACCTTGGAGCCGGGAGCCTGCTTTGGATTCTGTGTCTCCCTCTCAATCTCTCCCTCTCTCTCTGCCCCTCCCCTACTCATGCTCTGTCTCTCCCTCTCTCAAAAATAAACATTTAAAAAAAAGAAAAAAAAAAAAAAAAAAAAAAAAAAAAAAAAAAAAAAAAAAGAGGAAAAAATTATCATGGGATTTCTTTAAATGACCAAATTCCCTGCTGTGATTCAAGCTGAATGTCACACAGATGATGAATATATCTATGAAGCAAGGTGTGTGTCCTCTTTCATTACTGACATCACCACAGACTAACACACTTGGCCCAGATAGAGAATAAGAAAAACAGAACCTATGAAAAAAAAGTCATGGTTTGGGGGTACAATCAAATGAACACATTTTGTGATAAAGTGAAACCCAAAACTTGGGAGGCAGAGGAGACAGAACGAAATCCAGGACACTGAAGAGTGGAGCCCCCAGTGGGATGAACGGCTTGAGGACAGGGGGGCAGGCAGCACCTACAGTCACTGCGTGATTTCCCAGGTCAGCTGGGGCGGGGCCACGCTGCTGCTCCGTGGGCCCCCAAAACTCCTGAACACTAAATTGAAGAGGCTCCCCACTTTCCCAGTGAACAGACTGCAGACTGAGTACTCAAAGTAGAGGGGTTTTAGAGAGTTATAAAAATAATGCCAATTGGAAAAAAGACTGAAATGCTAACGGTACTGGGAAAGAGAATGTTCACTTTTGAAACATTTCAATGAAGTCGGCAGAACCTAAACCATACGAGCACATGTATGTACAGTATTTGCTAAAAATACAACTTTCAAATGATAAGAACATCAAGGAATTGGAAGAACGGACATGTATACATTTGCTGGTGCAACAACGTTTGAGAGCACAACGTGCCAGATGGAGGCTTGACCAGGAACAGAAGCAAGGTACGGCTCATTAAAGATCTACTTATCTAGCACAGTGATTACACAATAACAGTAAAGTTACTGTGGTAATAGTATCGAATACAGATTGTATTTCCTGAGCACATACAGTACTGCTCTGGGTTAGGGGTCAACAAACTTTTTCATCAAGAGCTAGGTAAGTCCATATTTCAGGATTTGCGGGGGACGATGCTCTAAAGCTCTCAATATGGGTACTAACATCACCGTTTTAGGAACAAGTAAAGTGAGATTTAAAAGCTCAACAAGTGACCCCATTTCACATGTATAATGTGCACGGTGCTTTTACACTGAGGCTAAAACCCCAACTTTGCCCAGTTACTGCTGTAGGTGAACTGAAATATCTACTGTGTGAGCAAAGTGCAAGTGCACACAGTCTCGCACACCCCACACAGGACGAAACAAAAAGACTTCATGAAATTTACTCACGGTTATTAATCACAAGTCCCGGAAATGGTCTAAAGAGAGAAACAAATTGGGTAACCGTTTATTTTTACTCTACAAGCAGTTACATGTACATTCAGTTTATCTCACTAACTTGTAACCATGTCACTTACGTGTCACAATGAGCACTGTTACCAACTACGTTTCAATCTCACACTTTTTAATCTATGGACACACAGACACGGGAAGAACTCTACAGGCCATTACTAGAAAAGGCCACAGTAAAGACGGTGAGAAAAGAACAGCAGTGAAGAAGAAAGAAGAGAGGAATTCCGGCAGCAGGGTCTAATGGAAGCAGGCTTTTACTGAGACCCCCGGGGAGGAGCACGGATGACAGACACTGGTTAAGTGGGACAAAAACTGGGGGAAGATGAGTGGATGCCAGGAAGGAACCTCGGGAGAGGTTACCACGTGGGCTACCTCCCAGAGCCAGACCTGAAGGACCTGTACCAGACACAGTGGGAACCTGGCAATGAGCTGACTGGGAGGATCTCGTGACAGCCACGTTTCTGGGAGTTGGGAGAAGCGTAAAGACGACACGGATGCTTGCTCGGGCAGCTGGAAAGGAGGACATCTACTGCAAACCTCCTGGGACAGGCGCATGGTAAGGAATGGAATTCCCGACAGGGTTGGCGAGGAGGTACGATCATCGCTCCCAACTCTGTGGATAAGGAGCTGATGCTCTCAAAGGTGACAACTCACGCTATTGTTGTGCAGGCAAGGAAGGAAACAAAAGGACCTGGCTGACTTGGGGTCAGACTCGACTGCCCTGAGCCTGCGATGACGGGCCCGAGACACGGGCTGGCCGTTTTTCCTTAATGGGCCAGACAGTAAATATTTCAGGCTTTGCAGACGACGCTGTCTCCGTCCCAATGACTCAGTGTTACCCCTGTACCCTGAAAGCAGCGGTAGGCACTATGGCACGGTGTCTTAATACAACTTTATAAGATAAACAGGCAGTGGGCTGGATTTGGTTCACAGGCGACGGTTTGCTAACCCCTTGCCTTAAAAACCAGAGAATCCAGAGTCACCCAGGGAGAAGAGAACCTCACAGTAAGACAACTGAAGTATTTTACGTGTTTCCCTTCGCTACATGGTGAGCTGGACTCTACTATTCCCTAGGCCTACATTCTGGAAGACGACGTAGCCTCATGGTCTGCAGATTCATTCTTCCAAACAAGCAGGGAGCTCTCACTTACCGAATGACTGTGAATTTAATGAACTCGGCAGAATCTAAGATCCTTCTCATGGAGCTGATTTCCAGGTAACTGGGGGCTTTGAATGACACTCCAGGAGGCATGCCGTCAACCACCACACAGCCAGGGTTAATTGTGATTTTCCTGTAGGGAACTTTCACAGGGAAACCCATACCAATAGCTTCACCTAGGACAAGACAAACAGCACAAAAGCACAGATTAACCTGTCATCTTAGAAGTGGCTAAAAAGCACAGGACCAACATTTAAACATGGTCTCCGCTGTTAATAAAGGCAATGCACACAACAAACAACCTTACCTTTGAACCTCAGTTCTAGTCACTTTGATATCGACCTGACGGTCAGGAGTCTGACAGAGCTAAGGTTTCCTTAGGAAAGAACTTTAGAGAAACTCAAACACTTACGTTGAAAGCTTATTTCCTTGCATAACGGAAAATAACAACTATCTGAGCTTAAGCTACAGTCCAGTACTGGAACACCCAAGCTTACCACAAGCAGCACCCTGCAAATGCAGAACTCACCGAATTTCCGACTGAAGAGGTCGTTCACTTGCTCTCTGAGCTGTCTCGCTTTTTCGACTTTTGACAGCCTTTCATTATCATCATCTAGAAAAGGTGAGAGGACAGTTCTAGCTTAATAATCCAATTAAAAATTTTTTTAAACATTTATTCATTTTTGAGAGACAGAGTGTGAATGGGGGAGGGCAGAGAGAGGGAGACACAGAATCAGAAGCAGGCTCCAGGCTCTTAGCTGTTAGCACAGAGCCTGACACTGGGCTCAAACCCACAAACTGTGAGATCATGACCTGAGCTGAAGTCGGATACTTAACTGAGCCACCCAGGCGCCCCAATAACGCAATTTTAAAGTATTTAAAAAAAATTTCTTTAATGTTTATTTTTGAGAGAGAGGGAGACAGAGTGTGAGTGAGGGAGGGTCAGAGAAAGAGAGAGGGAGACACAGAATCCGAAGCAGGCTCCAGGCTCTTAGCTGTTAGCACAGAGCCCAACACAGGGCTCAAACCCACAAACTATGAGATCATGACCTGAGCCAAAGTCGGATGTTCAACCGACTGAGCACCGACAGGTGCCCCTAAAGTATTTTTTTCATGTCTATTTAATTACGGTGAGAGAGAGAGAGAGAGAGAGAGAGAGAGAGAGAGAGAG